GTGTCAGGTGCCTTGGTTGTGTCAGGTGCCTTGGTTGTATCTGGTGCCTTTGTTGTATCTGGTGCCTTGGTTGTGTCAGGTGCCTTGGTTGTACCAGGGGCTTTTGTTGTCTTTGGGGCTTGGGTTGTTTTGGGGGCAGAGGTGTCCTTATCACTCCCACCTCCATTTGGCAAATCTCCCGGTAAGAATGTAGGGACTACCAAAATGGTGGGGAGGGCAGGTGACGGTGCTGGTGCAATTGCACTAGTACCTGGGACTCGGGGAGGACTGGGCAATACTTCATCCTTTGGAACCAAACCCATACCAGCACTAGGAGAAACTCCTTGGGCCACTCCGGTGCCAGTGGAGGGGGCTGAAAGGATGACAAATGGTAACAAAGAACGACCATTTGGTGAAGGAGGAAATATGAATATGGGCTGACGAGAGGACGGAGGAGAAGGCCTGGGGGGTTGTGGTGGAGGAGGAGGGGGAGAAGCAAAAATATATATGGGAGGGGAAGGCTTGGCAGAAACACTTGGTGACTGATTTGGAGGGGGAAATATAAAAACTGGTTGAGCTTTAGGCGCACCAGAAGCAGAACGTTGAGGCAGCTGTGGGATATAGAAAATTGGTGGCGGACGAGGAGGGGGTGGGACAGGTGCACGGGGAGGGGGAGGGAATACAAAGATAGGGGGGAATCTTCTGGAGCTTGTAGAAGATGCTACCTGTACGGGGGGAGCTGGTTGCACTGGTTGACCTGCAGGAGAGAAGCAAGGAGCTGGAGGTCCAGCAAAGGTTGGAGGCGCTGGTGCCACCTGGTTGGAAACTGTAGGATGAGAGAACCAGGATGGTTGATTCATCCTCAGACGTTGATTACCAGGCACTCTCTGAAAATAAAACATCCTTGCAGGTCTAATTTTTCTCTGTGGGAAAAATAAACAAGAACAAACATCATGGACAAAATTCTAAAATGATTTTAAAGTCACCTGGCCTGTTTCAACGGAGTGTATTATGAAAACTGCATGCCACTTTCCCACAGACAAAGCCCATGGACACTAAGCAGTGTTAGGTTAGTCTGAAAGAATGAAGAAATTCAGAAAGAATAGGAAGGTAAGGTAGGATAGGTCAGAAAGAATAGGAAAAATTAGACAGCAAGAATTAGAATATGAATATAATAATAATTCTTCATAAGAATTAGGAAGAGTGTTATTTATTTGCATGTGTACCAGTTTTCACTCGTGTTATAGTTTGCACAATGCAATGCAAAGAAATGTCAGTTACTTCCTCTGTGATCCTTTTTCTGCAGCCCTCCAATATTCCCATTTCACTTTGTTTCATCCAATGTGTGTGTAGGCCTGGCATCATACCTTCCAGACACCACACACCAATAACATTTACTGTATTTGACACAGGGTTTGTCTGGACTCCTAGAATATAATTTCAGTGGCAACTTCAATCATCTCTATCAACTACAAGTGTATCTCTTCCAAGAACTCAAATAAAATGCCATATATTCCTTTTTGCTCATGGTGTCAAAACCATTTGTCAAAAAGCTTGAGTGAACCACAGCAAATGAACAACAGCCCGAACTTATATCATTCTTAATAAAAGTTTTAAGTCGTATCTTCAATCAACAGCCATAAAGACAATTCTTTCAGTATTTATTTCGAGAAGCAAAACAGTTTTGCTTTTCTGAAAAGAAAAGTTTTATTTTAAGATTATTTTAATAGAGAATTTTAATATTACAATTTCTAATCAACATACATTTGGATATTATGCACCACTTTTGACAAATTGTTACTTTCAATATAGTAATAGTAATGATATAGCTGTAGTAATCTAGCTTTGCACTTAATTAATAAACTTATGAAATACATATTTTTCATTATTTTTTCAGCAATATTTGTTTCTCGTTTTATTAGAATCACAAGTTTAAATTTTTATTAAACAGAATTTTGCGTTTACAAAATATTGTATGAATGCATTTTTTAATTCCCAAAATATGAATTGATTTAAATCAGATTAGGTTATTTTACATTTTAACAGTGCAGGAAAAATAAGTGTTTTCTAACATACACAAATTTAGTTACAAGACATTAATTCTGTTTCATTTTCTAAATGAACTGCAAAGCAGTGTGTATTAGACATTTATAGACAAAATGAAATCTAAAAAAAGTATGTAAAATTGATATATTAATAAAGGTGTCATTAATAGTATATGTAACATATATCAGGAAATCAATATCTTGTTATTGCATTAATATGCACCATGCATTGTAATATTTGTAACATATATGGAAAACAATTACTGTATACTTACGTTAGCTGCGCATACTGCCTCCAGAATACAGAGAAGTAAGATAAAATTCTTCATTTCTGTAGTTTTTATCTACAAATTAAAAAGCTATATTTTATTAACCATTCATTACACAAACAATATATGAACATAAAAGTTTACTTATGCTGTATGTGATACTGTTATAAGAAATAACATTACCTTTCATCACATATACTTAGAGGTGAAAAAAATACATAACATAGTTTTCGTCCCATGCTTATAAAGGCCTTAGGCCTCATATATAAGTTTCAACACATGAAAAACATTTTTTTTAACATTTGCCACAAATGGCCTGTAGGTGTTAACCATTGAAAAATGTCTTTGGGTTATAAATTAATTACACAATATAATTATTTTTCTTTGTGATCCTGCAACATGTTGTGACACATTTCACACTCTCCTTGTGTTCTGCAGTGATGTTACAGATGAAATGTATGTAAATTTAGGTACAAAGTAGTTGTAATGACTTTAGTCCTTTTGTTAAAAAAAACTTTAGAGACACTGTAGGTGTTCTTAAATCTTTTTGTTTTTTTGGTTGTCAGTGCAAGTCTCTAATGGTATCACATTCCAAATGAATTTTATTCTCCTCACTTGTTGATGCTCTATACAAAGACTTTCCACACAATGTGTTTACCATAACACAAAATGCAAAGACATTGCATCTAGGAAGCTACAGTGAAGCTGGATCATCAAAGTGTTTTTTCATTTTTCCAAAACTAAAGACAGTTTTTCTAGATCTGCACCTGCTTTTACCTATCCAGTAGTTTCTCTCACTAGTTTCTGTTGCTTTGTACATATTAGTGAAATATATAATAACATTTAAAACGACACACTGTCACACTTCATCACACTTAACTAATTGAGCAAAATGCAACATATTCTAACATATAAATGAAAAATAACAACAGTAGTATTTCGCATCCTTGTTCAAATAGTTCTTAATATGTTAAAACTGGTTCTTATGTCCTGAAGCTTTGTTTTTAAAAGATTTTGTTATAATTAGCCTTTGATCAGTGTGTAATTAAATTATTTTTTCAACCGCAAAGAAACAACTGCCTTTTGTTGGTATTTGGCATTTCAACATGTTTTTATAATACAAGGATTCCTTGTGGTTTAGATTTGACATAGGCACGTGTCTATACGAAAGATTTGACAGATAATATCTCTAAATTGCTACTAATAAAACTTAAATGTTTCAGAGTAGCCACAAAACACAAAGGAAAACATATCTGTAAAGATATTTAAACTTAAAAATGTATTGATTAATGTACATATACAGTATTGTGAAATGTATAGTATTTAAAGCATAGCATATATAGAATTATATCAGTTGTACATAAAGGAATCATCACCCTTTATCTGAGAGAATTTAACCTGCTAAGGAATTTAGTTTTATAAGCAGTATTTAATTACACTTTTAACCAACAGCAGTTATTTTTTGCAGTTTATTCCCCAAAATTATAGGTGAGTCAAAGGTCAGAAAGAGAATATTAGTGCTTATACAGTATTTACAACCCCAAAGAAACCTACTGTATGTCTAGCTTTCTTAGACACGTATGTTGGCACTTTGTTTCTGAATTTGAATTCTTCCCCGACAACTCACAGCTGAAAACATAACCACATAAGAAAGGTACCAAACCAAAGGAGGCCATTCAGCCCATCAAGCCCGTTTGGCAGTTAATAGTTAATGGAGTCAAGAATCTTATCAACTGCTTCTTCAAAGAAGCCAGAGTATCAGCCTGAAAGTCCATGTTGATCACTGTAGCTCAGCATTGTTAGTGTGAGCCTAGATTGTAACACTGGTGAACAGTCACCAGGACTTCCTAATTGTATGGTAGCAGACAACTGGTTGAGTGCCACCAGAGTAGAGTTGGGATTAGTGGATGAGGGTTGTCTTGGCCTTGTGAGCATATGAAAGCAGTGATGTCAATGAAAGATATGCCACATCAGCTCTATCTCTCAAGTACTGGTGCTACAGAGCTCGCACCATGTAAAGTGATGAAGGTTTCAGTAGGTGGGCATGTGGGAAGAGGACATTTGTGTCTCTCTTCACTCAAGCAGACATCTGAGTTTTTGACAAAGTTCCTTGTTTTAAACAACTTGTGATTCAAATTTGTTTGGGTGTATAAAAAAAAGTAATTTGTAATTAGAAATTTATTTTAAAAGCTATCAATTCTAAATGTGCTGGCTGTAGGCTGTGCTGCAGCATTTTTTGTGGTTGCTATTCCAAGAAAATACTAAACCACTGAAAAGTGATGTATGGGTATCTTTTGCAAACTATTGTCAATAACTAAGAATACCGGTATCCAATAAACAAAAACTAGGGAATAATTGTAAATTGTTTAATTGCAAGTAACTGTGGTTATCCACAAAAATGTTGTGCTGTGATGTGTGCTTATTACTTACTAGACATGTAGTAGCTGGATCTGTTTGCAGCAATTAAATCTTTGTGCAAAGATTTTCCAAGAATGGAAGTTTCTAATTGATTCATAATATTGAAAAGCAGTTCAACCTAAATATCTAAAAAAAAGATTTGAACATAAAATGTAATATTATTTTTACTATCTCTGTCAAGCAAAAGATTCATGCATTTATAACATCAAGGCTTGATTTCTCCTGCTCTTTACCTATGGGCTCTCAACAAGTTGCAATATGTTCAAAACTCTGCAGCTAGATTATGAATTCTCACCAGACCCTGGCAGCATAGCACTACACTTAAGTCTCTACATTGGTTGCCTATAATGTCACATATTCAATATTAGATCTTGTGGCTGACTTTCAAGACTCTCAACAATCTGGCTCCATCAAAAATCTCTGAACTCCTCCATGTTCACACTCCTCTATGAAGGCTCTTTTCTGTCAGGCCTGTTCCACTACTCACTGTCCCCAGGACTAAATCACAGACCGTTGATGACCCTGCCTAATCTGTCACTGCTTCACAGTTATGCAATGATCTTCCTGAGACTCTACAAGAGAAAACGTCTTTAACTGTCTTCAACTTCTAAACTTAAAACTTGCTTTTTCACCAAGCCTACGTCTTATTGCCAATGTCTATAAAAACCTGTATGCTTGTTTTTTTATTCACGGTGTACAGTGTTCTAAGGATTGTAAAGGCGCTTAATAAATAAAAGTTACTATTATTTATTATTATGGTTATTATCATATGTAGTCATATAAATATATGCAGTGAAGAAAGGACCATGAATCTCATGTAACTAACTTTTCTTAAAAAATGAGGCACAAAAATGTATTCCATTAAAATTTGATATACTGTACTATAGTTCTTTCCTTAGATTCCACGGATTAGACAGCAGGCCAAGCACAAACTAAGAGGGTAAAAACTGTCTTCTCTTATATCTTTAGGTCTGTGGTAGCCCCAGAAAATATAATATATAGGCTTCTGGGCAATTATGCATTCTTCTTTGTGTTAAGAAGTTGAGCCATCGATGGCCAACACCAAATCACAACATTTCTTTGCATTGATTTGTGCAAAACGTAGAGTCACATTCATTAAGGCTATTAAAAACATCCATTGCTGGACATCTCACACCTCACTCATCTTTTCTCTGATCTTGTTAACTATGGTACAGAAAGACATAAATTGTTATAGTTGTTTATGCCATTTGTACATATGATCATAATTTCAAAATGGTATTTCTTCAGGAACTCCAGTTTTTCTCCTTCCTTCCCAGGAAGTTATCTACTGTAGGTTGATTTGTGTCTAAAGCGTCAGTGTGCGTGTGCACCTTGTGATAGACTGGAGTCCCTTCTAGTATGTAATCAGCTTGCACCCTGTGCTTCGGGGATAGAGCTCAACTTGTCAAAACTCTTACTAGGAAATACCAACTTTCTGAAAGTTGAAGAAAAGATGTTTGCAAATAATTCTTCTCACCTGATTTTTTCATGAGAAGATTTTAACTAATTAGTGAAGGAACCTAACCTACAACTAAAAGACAATCTCACATTAACATCCTCTCTGCCTTGAAAGTTTCTGAGTATCTGAAGCATAATTTTGGAAAGCAGTACCTGGGATATGGTTAAAGCTAATTTTGGTTGGCTTATTGACCTAAGTGTGGCTTCTGGTGGCTGGGCAAGGGCTACAGGATCCATATTAACAAATTGATTCCCTAAAAAATTGTTAAAGTTCTGTGTTTTCAAATGATTTTCTTATTTAGTTATAATGTCTATATTAAAATATTTAAATTTAACAACAGTTTCTGCAACTTCTAAACATATTGAAGACAACAATTCTTAAAAAGTGGATTGGATCATGGATTAGAACATTTTAAAAGATTGACAATGCGTGTTATGCAGTCCTGTTAACTTGAATGAATTAAATGTTAATACAAGTTACACATGTATTATTACATTTAATTTCTATTTGAAAAAAAAAATTCACAAAAGAAACACACTTTTGAAAATATTTATGGGTTGTATTTCAGAGTTGTATTTCAAGTATTTTAATACATGTTTCTCAGCTGGTTGTCATCTTGTTTCATTTCATTTACAAAACGGAAATATAATCATATATTATAGAGCAATACAATTCAAAACAGTTCACAATGTTTTCTCGTATATATATATAAAGACAGAGAAATGTGCTTAAGCAGGAGGAGAGGCAATAGAAGCTCTGATGCACAAATTCATACTGCCATAGTCAAAAACTGTCCATGTGCTGTCCTTTCAGCTCCTAGAATGTGAAAGCTGCAGGGGTCTTCCTGTGGAGAATAGTCTAACAAATCGACTTGTGATTGGGGAGAAGAGTGTCTTAGGTCCCTTGCCACCTCCATTCCCTCCACCATTCCCACCTCCATTCCCTCCACCATTCCCTCCACCGTTCCCACCTCCATTCCCACCTCCATTCCCTCCTCCATTCCCTCCACCGTTCCCACCTCCATTCCCACCTCCATTCCCTCCTCCATTCCCTCCACCGTTCCCACCTCCATTCCCTCCACCGTTCCCACCTCCATTCCCACCTCCATTCCCTCCACCATTCCCTCCACCATTCCCTGCTCCATTCCCACCTCCATTCCCTGCTCCATTCCCACCTCCATTCCCTCCACCATTCCCACCTCCATTCCCTGCTCCATTCCCTCCTCCATTCCTTCCTCCATTACCTCCACCATTCCCTCCTCCATCCCCTCTTCCATAGCCATTTCCTTTGCCACTCCCTCCTCCACTGTCACCAACACTATTTCTTCTGCCATAAATTGGTGTGTATCCCCCTCCATACCCTGCTCCTCCATATTCAAAACCACCAATTTGCTGAACTTCAAATTCGGAGTCGCCATCTGGGAAAATGAAAATAGGAGGTGGGGGCACCTGAGGAGCCACAGCAGGCTGTTTAGCTGGGCTGCTGCCAGACATAGCTTGATCTACATTAGAGTCCGTGGGGGGTGAGAAGATAAAGATAGAAGGGGGTGGGGCTGGGGCTGGAACTGGAACCGAGCCTGCTCCTGGGGATGGACCTCCAGATGACGTTTGCATACCCCCACCTGTAGACCCTAGACTGGGACCTGGGATTATTGGGGCAGGAGGAGGGAATATGAATATCGGAGGAATGGGAGGTGAAGGGGCTGTTGCCACAGAGCCTGTTCCTCCTGCCGCACTTGGAGGTTTAGGTGTTTGGGAAGAAGGTTCTTCTTCAGCTGGAGCTGGAGGGGGAAATATGAAAATGGGTGGACCAGGGGCAGGGGCAGGGGCAGGGCCAGGGGCAGGGGGAGGTTGAGGGGCAGGGAATGGTGCAGGGGCTGTTGGAACAGGTGCTACACCTGCTTCTCCAGCAGCAGGGCCGCTTGGAAAAGCGGGAGGGGGTCGTTGTGGAGGAACAGGAGGTGGGAAGATAAACACTGGAGCAGTACCCTGAGGTGGCATCGGTCCTTGATCTTGTTTAGGAGCAGGGCTGGGGCTAAGGTTTTGAGATAAGCCTCCACTCTCTCCATTGGCTGATCCTGCTCCTGCTGGTTGTTCACCAGGTGGGAAAATTAGGATGACTGGAGGTGATGGAGATGGGAGCTGCTGAACAGGTAAAGATGCTGCACCGTTTGAAGGACCACGATTGGGTGAGGTTATAATGGGGAAAACAAAAACTGGAGGAGGTGGGAAAGGGCCATAACCATAACCAAGTCTGCCTCCCCCATTCTCTGCCCTAGGAAGGCCAGCACTCTCTCCTCTACTGAAACCATTAGGAGGGGCACCACCTGTACCCCTGTCCTGAGGAGGGCCACCATTTCTGGCACCTGGACGTCCAGCTCCCGTTCCCGAAATCCCACTCCCAGCAGCTGGACGCACACCCCCATTAACTGCACTTCCATCACTGCCACCACCACCTGGACCCCTATTTGCACTATTGCCTCCTGTTCTGCCTCCCCTACGGGCCAAAAGGATGATTGCAGGTGGCGGAGCTGGGGGAGGTGCTGGGGCTTTGGACAGAACTATGATCTGTGGGCCCCTTTGGACTGGTATAGGGGGGGCAGCAAGGGGAGGAGCAGGAGTAGGAGAGAGAGCCTGCCTCGGTGCAGACAGGGGTGCCTGTCCTGCTGATGCTCCTGAGGCAGGGGGTGATATGAAAATCACAGGAGGGAAGGCCAGGGTTGGAGCTGGAGCTGGACTAGCAGCAGGGCCTCCAGTGATGATCACTGGGGGAACAGCTGGTGCAGGGGCTTGGGGAGAAGGGGAGGGCCTGGCAAATATGACTGTAGGAGTGGCAGGTCCAGGGGCCTGGGGAGCATGTGGAGGCCCAGCAATTATAATTGGGGGCACTGCTGGTGCAGGAGCTCGGGGAGCAGTGGGGAGCCTGGCAAATATTATTGGAGGCACATCTGGACCAGCAGCTGAAGGAACAGGGGGAGATCCAGGTAATATTATTTGTGGGTACAGCCTGACATAAGTGGGGGCTGCATATCCTTCCGACAAAGACTGAGCTCGGTGTTTTTGTGTTTGGCCTCTTCGTTGTGTAAGCTGAAAACAACCAAGGAAAGGTCCACTTCAGAAATTAGTGCACATGGCTGTGATTCAATGATAGAGAAGAAAATGGATCTCTAAAATTAGCTGTAGAAAAAATTACATACCGTATAGATACCACATGCCTTCAACTATATGTATATGTGGGTTGAGCCCTTTCAGTTATGAAGTAATAATATTCAATATATATTCAGAATAACATTGCTGTTTTAAATTAACTACTGAACTTTGATATTATATTATTAAACATTAATTCACACAAATTGTATACATCAGTGTTGTGCACAATAGTTCCAAAATCTAAATCTAAAATTCCAGGAATTAGATAGATTCAACATTCCTGTTCATGCTTTTCAATAAATCGCTTACATGTTCTATTCAAATAAATGTTACATAACTAATTATCCTTCTAAACTATATTATAATATTATCGTTTTTCATAAAATACAAGTAAACAGAATATTTGATCAAAGAAGTTAAACATTTTATGATATTGTTATTATTTTATATGTTTATTAAAATATATTATCTGTTTAAAATTAATATCTTACAATATTGTAGGCCTCACAGAAATACTTACAAGGGCATTATGTACTGAGCCAAAGAAACACAGGCAGAGAACAGCAAACATCATGGTTTATTGGCAAACCTATAATTAATTAAAATTAAAAGTATTGATATTAAATAATCAACAAGTGGGAAAACCACAATCACATTATTGAAATTAAAGTCATATTTTTAAAACTGCAATTCTGTCTGAATATCTATCTAAAGTTTTAGTTATTTAATTCAATCCAATTACATAACTATCAAATACAAAAAAATGCAATGCACAATTTATGTTTAATCGTTTAAATAATTTGCTGTCATTTTACCACTGAAAAAGTCAGTTTTTATGCTCAATGTGATTAGAACAATCATAATCAAAATCCAAAATATAGAGTTAACATCTTGTTTTAACAACTATTATCTTTTTACAGTATATGTTCTATTAAATTATTATTGTTTATTTTGCATTTTGTATATGTATATTTTTTCTTTATTGCATTTGCATTTATTACATTTAATCTAGTTATGCTGAAAGCAGCAGGGCTGAAACTATTGAAACAAAGAATCTGGGTTGCTTTGATAAATTAAGTGCAATAAGACACAAAATACAGGAAAATGCCAAAAATTTGGCCTTACCTTCTACTGCTGCTTGAAGGTTAATTTTACATTTGAGGAATGTCTAGTGACAATGACAAACAAGTTGCTTGCCGTCTCCTCTCTTCTGATCTGCAAATAGTCAAATAGCTGATGTATTTAAACCATAACAACAAGCCTTAATAACCAATCAATTCCCCTCAGGTTTAAACCTTGGTCTTTAAAAATTTTACTCTTTCCCAAAGCATCATTTCTATTTAACCATCTATGATCTAATATTGTGTTTAATTGCAAGAGCCTTAATTTGATCTTGATCTCCATATTCACCTGAGGGCATCCAGCTACAGAAAAGAATGCTTTTGAAAAGTTATGAAATCATTTCTGTGTATGTACCTGCCTCATGCTATTATTCGATATTAGGCACAGTCATAATATCATGCACCTTTAAATAAACACATTAACTAATTTGTGCTACAAGAAGAGGCAAAGAATACTGAAAAAAACTCAATCCTTCCTCCCGGCGGCTGTCAGGGTTTATAACCCTGCCCTAGGCTAGGACTGTTAGCCCTTTATATGCTCATCTTTGGACAGCATGTTGCACTCATGTACCTTTTGGACACTGCATTGATATACTGTGGTACTTTCAATCTGTTTATACCTATGCACATTTTGCCAAACTCTATTTTATTTTGTATTGCTGTACTTATTTAAATTTTAGTCTATTCTGATGTCTGTCATGCTTGTCTTGGGCTGGGTTGCTGTAACACCTCAATGTCCCTTCGGGATCAATAAAGTCTTATCAATCTATCTAAAGCAGCTTATTGCAATATCTGACCATTCTCAGGTTTTCCGAAATTCCATACTAATATTCACTCCAATTTCAAGTGTGCCGCAGTCAACCAGTCCGCTAGAATGTAATTTGTAATCCTCACTGAGCAAAGACCTAGAAAGCAAACACTTAATTCATACTTAGTTCAGGTCATTAAGAATTCAGTATAGAATGAAAACCAGAAGACCAGAACATCTTTCCTATTCAGATCACCAAATGATGGACTAAATTAACTTTTTTTACTTGAAAGAAACCAGGGATTTAGCTTTAACAAATTTTAAATGACAGTTGTAGTAAGTACATTATTTTGTCAGTGCAACAGTAAAAATCCTTTTCTTTTATTCTCAGCTCCATCAATTGGTTCTTAGCATATTTGTTCACTGCCAAATTAACCTCTCCATGTAAGGGGAAGTTTCATATTGGAATGTACGTTTTTTATTGCCTTCTTCTGCAAAGTTAAAGATTTTTAAAATGGAGGACCCTTATTCAGAATGATCATGCTAAAGGTAGATATGGTTATGTAATCTGTAAATGTGATTAAAGATGTAACTGGGGCACTTGATGAGAGTCTCACAAGCTCAGACATAATCAAATAATGTACTCTTCCTGGACAGATACCCAGAATCCATCCCAGGACACTGGAACTACAGACAGCAGTGCTAATTCCCCCCAATAAAGTGATACAGTATGTAGATACCAGTCAGCCTATCTAGTTTCAGCAGAGTGAATTGGGTAGAATCAGGTGATTGGGTAGAATCAGCTCATATGACACAAGGTACTATGATGTTGCCAATCCTGGGCAAAAGCTATAACCAGCATTATATCAAAATTTGCTGTATATACTTTATCTATTTCCACTATATCAAATTTGATATCAAATTCACTATATCAAACTTAACATCGCTATATCAAATTTCTGTGTAAGTCAACACTGTGCAACATGGGTCTTTTCAAATCCTTAAGGCAGTGAAAAGAAAATGCAAAGATACCTCATGATCCAGAAATACATGAAAAAGGAAAATCAACATGTGTTGGGAAAACTGGAAAGCAAACACTAGTGACTGTTTTCTTTATGACTTGCTTATTACATCCACACACATCTGATTCAGAACTTTAGTCTTTGCCTTTTATCTTCTCCATTCTGTAGGTGTACAACCCTTCTCACTCTCCCCCTTCCTTTTGTTCTGCCAGACTTTCTGTACCCTCTCTGTATTCCTGCACTTCCAGAACCTGTTCATGTCTCATTCTTTGTCCTTCTTTATAGCAGTGGAATGATGTTCCCACAGTGATCAAAACTCTTCAATCCCTGACCACATTTCAGTGCCTGCTCAAGAACATGTGTTTAGACAGCACTTGTGGGCTCTCAGATCTTAGTTGCATTCCTGAGTAACTCAGTAGCATAGTTGCTCTTAGAGTCACTGACTCTCAGGCCGGTTTTGTGGTCTGCTGGTTTCTCCTGTTCACTGTAAACAAGGAGGGAATGACACCAGGCTGCATTCGTTGCTGCACAGTGTCCACACTGTCTGTGTACTTGGGGCTACTAGCTTGTACTTCCCTTGTTTTTTATTCTGTAAGCTTGATGTAAGTACATACTGTAATTGTGACTGTTCATTTTGTATGTATTATAGACATTTCATACCTGTACTGAAAGTCACTTTGGATAAGGGGATATGATAAGAAAAGGATGACAGCAGCAATCATTTTTGAAACATTTCTAGATCTAGGTTATCAGATACATCACAATCACTCGTACCATTAACCAAAATATTTTGGTTGATGTAGTTTTGATAAATTTCCAGATCAATATCAGTCATAATCTACTTGTACTTAATATGGTGAAACAAAGACATGGATGTTTGATCTGTTGCACAAAACAGAGGAAAAATTCATTCACCCTACCTTAGCTGAATGAAGAGCGCATAATTACTCATCTTGCATTTTAAACTTAAAGTTATCAGTGATCCGTGCACATTTTCTATTCCAGTTCTTCAAAATCTCAGTTACTTTTAAGAACATCTTTAAGCACACTTCAAAGATATTGTGTTAAAAACATAAATACATCTTTATGTATTGTATTCTTTTGCTGGTGAGAATAGTTATCAGACTTTTAGGGTTTGGTCATTGCTTGTCTCAACAACAGTACTTAGACTGTAGACTATAATCTATTAGTTATGCAGTATAAAAATGCACATACAGTAGCTTCTCAAAAAAGCAAAATTGATTGAGCAACATGATAGTTAATCTGTAAAAACTGACTTTAGTCATTAAGCAGTTAAATGATGTGACATTTAGGAAGTGGAAGCTACTAGAAGCATTTGACTATTTGATTGTGTTTTTTTGTCAAATTGAGCCTGGAAACACCATGACTGTTTGAAAGTTGAATGGGGGTTTGAACAGTGCATACCAACAACAACCCAGAAGGATTACCAAGGTCATTATTCTTCATACAGTATACAGTATCTGCAATACTAGCAATTCTATTACTTTTTTCTATGCATTCCATCTTAATGATGTACTGTGTATCAGAGATATCCAATTCTTGTCCTGGAGGGACGCTGCATGAGCAAATTTTACTTACAGCTCAGGTCTTAATGAGCTAAAGCAGCTGGTTACTAGTTTAAATGGACCAATTAAACATCTTCAGGTGATGTTTAAAGAAACCGTGAAAAGCTGTACACCCACCAACACTCCAGGACCCAGATTAGACACCCCCATCGTACAATATAGTCTTTCAACTTTTTGTCATTAGTGGAATTAATGTTGGGTCAGCATTGATTTTTGTTTCAGTGTGTGTCCATAAACAAAAGCATCTCATGTCACTTACAGTACATTGTTGATTCACTTTAGTTCTTGAATTGCAACATGTAAGCTTGTATTAGATTCAGGAAAGCCTTCATACAATCACTTTAAAATGTTTGTAAAGTATAACCAGTACTTTTCTGACCCTTAAACAACAATTGAAATTCTATTGCTGAAAACATATTTCTATACGTATTACTAATGATAATAAGTTAAAATAATTGTATATAGTGTCATGATAAAATTGAATTTTGCAATTAGGTAGAATTTACATTAATATACTATATAAAGAACACACCATTTCTGCTCTGACTTGCATTTCTCAATGTTACTCCAGTACTCATTCACAAACAACATGGGCCATTTTGGCACAAGAACTACCATCACATGTATTGCTTTAAAAAAACTCAGAAGCTATCACTTCTTCTCTTTCAGTAGTAGTGTAAGTAAATACTTTGCACTGTAGTTATATTTTATTGCCAAAGCTTTGTTTCGTGAGTTATGTTTTACATTCACTAGAACTTATTGTTATTGTCTATGAAACCTCTTTTTTCTGTGCAAATCCAAACATGTCCTATGGTAAACCAAAGCCAGACTTATGAATAATTGTGAGTTCCTGACAGTGTAATTATAAGGAATGCCACAGAAAAACACAACAAAAGAGATTTAGTATTGTATTCAATAATATTTATAATTTCTTTCTACTTCAACTTGAGATCTTTTAATAAACTGGTCTTTTAGTTAAATGAAAATTAGATTCTTTAGATAAAACAGCACCAATGTTTTTTTTTTCTACATATTTATACTTGACGTCATTGCTGATGTGTTGACATTTATGATAGTGAAAGTCTGTTAACTTAAAATATATTTTTTCATAGTTAAGCCTTCATTTACTACAATATGAAAATGTATAATGTAAAGTCTGGTATATTTAACACATACTCTGTATGAGGAATAAATTCTACCTAACTGGATCAGCTCCAACACAAAGGCAAATAACTGGGGGAATATTGTTATTTACATTTTATTTTTAACACTTCAGAAGACTTTGTTAGCAAATACATTAACAAATAAATGTCTTTTACACAGAGTGGTGTCCAAAGAAACACAAAGGCACAGAGTTCCAGCTATGAAACAGCAAATAATTTCATTGCAAGACAATTTGGTTTAAGCCTGAGTTCCTTGAGAATTATTATATTATCCGAAAAGTTCACATTTCTGCATTTTCTGTATTCAACATACTCTATGTTTTTAATAGTGAGGTAATTACATTTAATAAGGTGATTTTAAATTTTAGGAATAAAATGGAATATATGCATAGACGTTTTCAAGAGTAGCAAAGATAAAAACATTACTTTTGGTGATGTGGAAATACAATTAGTGTCTTCTTTATCAATACTTTTGATTATTCATTAACAAAATATAGAAGAAACATGCATAGCTCTGTGTTTATTGCTGAAGTCACATTATTATGAGTTGGTGTTAAAGTAGGTGAGTACATGAATATGTTGAAAATCACTTTCCTGTGGCTCTCTCAATGGTCTTTTATCACTTTACTTATCCCTTTTGCACTATTGTGCTTCTGGGTGATCTGCTTCCCTGACTGGACCTTTGCATGTTGGGTCTGTAGGAAGATGACTGTCCCACACTTCCTCTCCTGTCACTGCTGGTAGATTTGGGAGCTTTCTGGAAGCCGATGGGGATAACATCATATCCACCATTTACTGGTTGTCCTTTACCATCAGGGATAATGAAGATAGTAGGACTGGAGGGATCAGCTGGAGGAGAAGGGGGATAAGGACCTTGTCCAGCTAAATCATCAGCGATGGGGAAGATGAAAACTGGGGAATCTACAGGCCCGTATCCACCCCCAGCACCTCCAAATCCGCCACCTCCCCCATTGCCTCCTCCCCCACCCCCGTATCCAGCAGCTCCTCCACCATTTCTCCTACCCCCATATCCTCCTCCCCCATTCCCATATCCTCCACCACCTCCATTCCCATATCCGCCAGATCCTCCACCATTTCTGCCACCTCCACTTCCTCCACCCCCATTTCCACCTCCACCAGGACCTGCACCATTTCTCCCA